CCCTCCCAGCTTCTTGTGCACCTCCAGCCTTCTCAGTCGGTAGAGCATGGGAAGCTGAAAAGTCCTTGACTAGTGTAAGCACTACTTAGCAACAACTAAAACATTGGTGTGTTATCAACATTGTTCTCATCCTAAATCCAAAACACAGCACTGTACCAGCTACTAGGAAGAAAATTAACTCTGTCCCAGCTGAAACCAGGACACACATTTATCAGAAAGAAGAACCGTTAATTTTTTCTTCTTTCTTCCCCCTTTGTGAGTTTAGGGAGAACGTGGATTTCCTGGATCTTCTGGAGAGAAAGGCAACACGGGAAAGCGGGTGAAGTATCCTTTATAGTAATGTTTAGGTTTTATAGAAACATCTTTCCAAAGTGTAATGCTATCTGTAATGCCTGTGAGTTGTTTTTAATAGCTGCCTGTTCTCTAATATGATGTGGCTCCTGCTGTAAATCAGTGTAGCTCCATTGACTTAAACAGATCTGTGTTCTCTTATCTGGCCTTCCTCTACCACAGATAGTATTTCTACCTGTGCCCAAATTGCTTGTGATCTTTTTATGAATTTAGGGCAGAAAAGGCCCCAGAGGAGAACCAGGTGAACGAGGAGAATCTGGTCTAAGAGGAGATCATGTAAGTGTATTCCTTCATTTTTGTTAGGTTGCACTGATTTGTGCCTGGATTTTTTGATAGAGCTGCCTGAAATACATGTGATTTGAAGAGTTTTTCACAATCCTAGATGGTGCACTACTCTGCAAGAAGTATGGCATATTCCAGGAGTCCTGAACTCTTTAGATGCAGATGGACTGATGTGTTTTGATACGTTGCTTGGAAGCAGGTGTTTAAGCCTCAGGTGTCCTGCTTGTTCCTTGCATTTTTGGTTTGTTTGTTTTTGCCATGGGCAACATAACTCCTTTTGGAGCTACTTAGTCTTCCCTGGTGGTTGCCACCCCACAGAGGAATTTCTGGATCACCCTGTGCACTGACTTTTGGTTAGCAATTTATAATGATGAAAAGGCAAGTTACTTCTTCATGCTGACAATTTTTTCCTTGCATGCTCCAGAGCCCTATATAAATGCAGTCCCTGAGGACTAAAATTTCAGTGGAGACACCACACTTCTTGTATCACAACTTTAAGTCTTCTCACACATATTTCAAAGACCTTTGTTCCAAACAGTCAAATATAGTGTTGACTCCTGTCTTTTAATGCTTATGAAAAAAAAAAAATTAGGTGTCATGGTAACTTGCCTCTCTGAGAGATCAGGATTTCACCTGTGTCTAGCATTAAGTGGCTAAATGGAACTCCATTCTAGTGTAACCCCATCTGAAACTCACTAACTAGTTATGATCTTAACTCAATTAACTATACCCAAACAACCAGAACAGCTTCACACTTTCAGGGTTTAATTTGTTGCCCATTAGTAATATTTCTTTCCATCTCTTTGCAAAAGAAACTTGTGGACTTTGCAGAACTGCCTATATAGTGTTCTTACAAGCATCTTCATTTAAAATAGCCTTTGTATTTCTTGTTGGCTGCAATGACAAATCTCATTAATCCTATTTCCATATCCTGCCTCTGTAATCAGAGTAATAAAGGTGTGGTCACTGAAAATGCTGAGCTTTCTGCTTAACTTTTCCAGGGAGATCCTGGGACTAGCAATAATGTTCCTGGTCCTAAGGGTGAAAAGGGAAACCCAGCACGGCAAGTAAGCAAGTAGTTCTATATTACCGAGAGAGGATTTGCATAATTGCTAAGTGCTATTGGCTGTCCGGTGACTAAGCAGCTCTTTTATTTTGTATTCTGCCTTTAGTGTATGTCTGCAACACAGAAAGCTTTGAGAAGTGCTTGATACTGTAAAAAAAGAAAAAAAAGGTTAAAAAGGTTAACAAAGACTGTGGAAATATTCTTATAATATAGAGCTAAGGGAAGGTATGGATTTAGTATAAATATATTATTCTACCACAAATTTACATCACCATCCTGAGAGGCTTCTAGTAATGGATTGTAAGCATACATTAAAAACCATGCTGGGAAAAATGCATGGTTATCAACAGGCTGTACTCATTTTACTATGTAACTGCTATTTCCTTAGGGTGGTAGATAAATTCCATTTTGACCTGTATCTACAATATAAGAGCTGGGATATGTGCTTATATAGTGATGTCTGAATTTTTACGAGGTGTTTGAGCGGTACTGCAAGAAAAGAAACATAACAGAAAAGCACAGCCCATTTTACTGTCGCACTTTGTTTGGAAAGAATAAGCAAAGATGATAAGTAGTTGGACAGCATTATATAAGTGATGGTGGATGAAAGCTTAAGAGGGTGAAAACTAGCAACATGAGAAAAATCCACTATTTTAGAAGTTTCATTCTATCTGAACGAGTAGGGTTGTTTGCACATGTTGAGATGTGTATGTCCATATATGTCTATGTAGAGAGTGCTGAAAGCAGCAGAAAAACTGTTAGGGTCACTTTTTGGAGAATAATTGTGTTTTGATGACTTTTTGGAAACAAACCTCATCAAACTTTCTCATCTTAAGAAGTCCAGCTGAAAGGCTGAAGTCAACAAATATGATTTCGCAAAAGCCTTGACCAAGTATCAGCTGTTAGTAACTGATGGATTAGAAATCCAAAGTAAGCATGATCTCTCCGGTTTATAATTTTTGATTGTAAATGATTTGCAGAAAACAAGAATCAGCATGTAGCATGATACAACTGGTTGCAATGAAATTACTTAGGAGAAGAAACAAAGAAGGATCGTATAAAGAAGAATGTGTAAGTACAAGAAAAAGAAAGAGTAAAGAGCTTGTTCCTTACTTTGTTTTGCAGGGAGACCCAGGACCACATGGACTCCAAGGAGAGCAGGGTGATGCTGGCCCTGATGTAAGAATAGTAATCAATACAAGGTGGAAGTAACTGATACAAGATACAATGAGGTTTCCATTGAGAAAACCAAATTTTTCTCTTCCTTTTATCCCACACTTAAAACTCCTGCAATGAGAGGGAACAAAAATCTTCTAAAATTTTCATAGTGAAACATACTTGGCTTCACATTTAGTAGCTTATGCGTATTGCAATGTGGTTTAGGTTTTCCTAAATCAGGAATTTGCTGTCCAATTAATTTTAGGTCTGATTCATGTGAAGTCACAAGCCTTAAACTCAACCTTTTCTATGAGCCTTAATTGCTTCATAATTTCACCATAGATAAATCTATCCCTTCTTCCTCCCTGTGACTGCAAGTTCCATATGCCTGCTCAAGCCTATATATAAACTCACTGTCAGCTGAGCTGCTCTTTTAAATCCACTGGAGACTGGAACTTACGAAGGCGCCTCTTCTAGTCTGTCAGAAAGGTGCCTAATGCTAAAGTCTGGAATGATGATCACTCCTCAGTCAGGCTGCAGAAACATCTTAAAGGCCTTTAGTGATGTGAAGTTTAACAGTAACATTCACTAGTGCTGCTGAGCAGTGGGCAGCGGGAAGCGGTGCAGACCTCTTAGCTCAGAGGGAGAGAAGAGGGCTCTTGTTCTCTTTATTTTAGCCAAGGGGCAGCTGACTGGGAAGATGTTTTCCAGAATTTTGTTGAGATGCCTTCCCTCTGCATTCAGTAAGGGTCTAAAGCCTTTTTTTGATAAGGCTTACTTGTGTAAGAATTTCTGTCCCAAATCCACTCTTTTCTCATTTTTACCTTAAACCTTTCTTTGGAAATAATCTCTACTTTCTATAAGCTGTATTTGATTTGATTGTATGTATAATGTATTTTATTATAAGCTGCTGTTTCACATATTGCTCAGTGTTCTGGACGTAATTTCTCATGCCACTGCTTCCTAGGGTGCAGCAGGTCGAAGAGGCCCTCCAGGTATAAAGGTGAGTGGCTGACACTGCTGCTACCTATCTATATGCAGCTACGTGTCCAGCCTCAGCGTTTGCTCCTCTTAAGGGGGAAATTTCAGTGTGATCCAAGACACGAGTGTTTAACAATCAAAAGCCTATTTCAAGCCAAGGCAACCTTTAGATCTCAGGTGGATGTACCAGAGGCCCTCCTGACTTGAAGGATTTATAATTGGAAAGGAGCTTTCATTGAAATAAAAGGACAGTTACTTTTATTATTAAGGCAAATGTGGGAACATAAATAGAGAAGAGAGTGTCGCTAAGGATGATGGGAATGAGTAGTCAGGCTGTGTTCCTGCAGCATAAGGCCAAAAGTCTGAGTGTTTTCCTCCTTTGCTGCATACACACAGATATATGCATGACGCACGTATGCAGCAGAGGCAAAATTAAGTCAAGTTCTAAATGATGCTTTACTAAAACATAAACATAACAGTGTTAACTGCAGCTCTGAAAATTGGCTCAAAGCGTATAAAAGAATCAAGATTTTGAAAATAATTTAATTTCCCAAGTAGATATCTAAGAGAATATAGTGTAGTTTGAAGGCTTGTATAGGATGTAAGGAATAGGTCAGTCCCAGTGCACGCTGACTGATCATTCCAGAAAGATCCTCTGGTGGAAAATTCTCTCATGTCACTGTTAGGTGGTAGCCCTGGTTTTCCTAGACCTATACCCCATGGAGCCACAAAGAAAGGAAACTTTCCTGACATGTAATTGGTAAAGACATCACTGCCATTCTCTTAAATGAAGTTTTAGATAGTGTTCTTAGAAAAGAAAGCTTGTTTGTCCCAGGGTATAAATTACAAAATACAGTTATCAAAACAAATCTAAAAGCAGCTATATTCAAGAGTGGATTAGTTAAATTCTAGGAACCTGAGAAGACTCAGATTTTTTTTTTTTTTTTTCTTTTCACTTTTTTTTCTAGGACAGGGTGAACAAACATTTTCCATTGTCCATCACCCTGGCAGGAGTCTATAAGAACATCTAAACCCATGACTTCCATACATCTGCTTGCAAGATATATCCCTTATCTCTATCCTATTGCTTGCTTTCTCAAGTATAGGTTATATGATCATTCCAGGAAACACATTGCTTTAGCACAAGTAGTTCACATTTGACCCAATCTCTCTGCAGAGTTGCTAACACAGATAAGGAAGATGGTATATGCCTTGGTATAGCATTTCCCCTTTATCTTAGCGCATATAAACCCAGGGAAACATCACAGTTTCATGTATGACACTGTCAGTACCTGCAGGATGGAGTATGTCTTGAAGTCCGGCTCTGTGTTGGAGTCTGGGGAATGGGCAGAGTTGTAGCTTCTGAATAAATGTGCAAACCAGCATTTTGAGTAGAGGTTGTTGATGTGACTCTTCACTCACAAGCACAGTCAGGGCAAAATTCAGACCAGCTTTACCCCGTCTCTTCTTTCCAAGTCATACTCATGCAATTCCAGTGCAGTCCTAGTATCAAAGAGGAGACAGGATGAAGTGCAGGCACTCTTTGTCTCAGTCCTCAAGCAGCAATTGTTTCAAAGTCTGTGCCAAAGCCCTGTTTCCTTTATTGAAGTTCACAATATGAAAGTGTTCGGCCTGTACAAAACATGCTGTTAAGAGGACACCTGGTAACAGTTTGCTCAGTTTGATAAGTTTCTCATGTTTTTAATTGTGGATGCAGTATGTAAATTGAAGTGCTTGCCGTGTTCTTAATTTGGCAAAAGGTTCATGATTTTTCATGAAACTTTTGCATGGATTGAGTGCTTTTTCTGCAACAGCAACAAGCATTTAAACTGAAGGCCAAGTGTAAAATGTTAATAAATAATAGTGAGAATAACCATAATGATGCAATATAGAAAATAAGTTTCAGCAAAGGAAAAAGGCTACTGGGAGGGATGGGGGGTGTCTTTTATGGTAGTAATATTTCTTCAGCAGCACAGTGTTTGATTTGATTCTCATTTCTGGGCTTTCTGTCCCTCTCCTGTTTAGAGGAGCAGAATTTTTGCTATACCTTTATTACTGTCTTCCTGTGTGCTGCAGCCAGGTAACACAGATTTTTTTACATTTAAGCTGATTCAAATTAATTTTTCACTGGGAAATGACAGTCAGAAGTGAGAGTCCTGCAAGTTCCCCAAACTCTACAGTCCAGTCACATCCCAGCTTCATGCAATACACAGGTGGGCCTTGGGCTGAAACCTCTGCCCCATCTGGTTTCTGAAATTCCCAATTTGGATTTCACTTTGAGAATCCAGAATTTTCACTGTCTGGGGTATTGCAGGTAGGAATAGACTCTGGACGATTTTGATACTATCTGTCAGTAGGGGGGAAAGCACCATGCTTTGGCTACTCACAGGGATCAGCGTAACTTGAAAGAATACGAACATTTTATAGTTACTGTTTCCTATTTCTATCTCAGAAATTCTTTACAGGGTTTATGCAGACATTTTAGATTAAAATATTGAACAATATTCATCAAGCCTGCCTCTTAATTATTCCAATTCTTGCTTAATAGCTCAGAAATCCATTTCTTAAGTACTTATGTAACTTTGTGCTTTCTTTTTTTTCCATTTGATTGCTGCTGAACTCTAACAATCTTTGCATTTTTCTGTCAGGTAACAGTAGAAAGAAATAATCCAAGTGAGCTATGGGGGTAACAGGACAAAAATTGAAGTCTGTGGAAATGGATTTGTGCCTTATCTTTGTTGTACTAATAAGCACAAGAACTCTGATGTGGTTAGAAAATAAAAATGTTCAACTTGTTTACTAAAATCACAGAGTGCAGAATTAGTTGAACCTTTTGAGACAACCCTCTTCATCTCCATGGGGGCCCCCTCCCCCAGTGATGAGGCCACCCTTTTGCAGTATGGTAGGGAAGAAGAGAGATGACTGAACCTTGCAGCAACAGAGAACTTCCAAACTGTTTTCATTTAAGTGCTTGATGACCAGCTTTGACTTCTAAAAGTATAACAAAAAACATCTGCATGTCAGTAGGCATTAAAAGCTAGGTCTCAACCCATGTTCAGAGCACAGCTTATATAAATAACCTGTTCACTGAAGAGGTGTAAAAAGGAAATGGCAAAGAGAATTACCCTCTTCTGTCTTACACATCTCCTGGAGGAACTAGATGGAACAGTAAACCCTGCAATATGACACTGGCATGCATCCTTTGGTGAGATTTTGGGTGTTGGGTCCTCCTACGGAGATCTCTTGCATGGCAGCGTATTGCAAAGCTGCCACAGGGCGTAGCTCTATCAGCACAAGGTATGAGAACTTCACTGTGCAGGCTTCCTGGTGTCCCTGGGCCAGGAAGCAGAACTGTGTAGTCCTAATGTTTGCAGGGTCTTCAAGGGCCCTTCTGTGGACCACAGGATCTGGCTCTGTAAGGAAATACGATACGGCCAGTCCTTCTGGAAGAGGAAGGGTTTGTGCTGGAATGGAATGGAAATGAATCCCTCTTTCAGATGAAGATAGATATTGGTGGTGAGGTATTCAGGGACAAATAGTCAAATTACAGGCAGTGAGCCAGAATTCACCCAGCTAATGCCTAAGGACTTGTACCGGGTTTAGCTGTTAATAAAAGGCACTGAACTAACACCCTTGTCAACAAAGTTAACTTCCCTTGCAGTCAGCATGCACACACTGCTTTTGACCATATCCTGAAAAGGACAGTTCTCCAGGATTTCTAGTTCAAATTATCTGTTGCTTTTTGTGATAAAAGGGAGACTAACTTTTTGAAATAGTTTAAAAAAAAATAAGCGTAGCTAGCCATTCTTAACAGTCAGAAGTAGTCAGCAGGCAGAAGGAACAGAAGGTGTGGTGTAGCCTCAGAGAGGAGTTTGTAACAGACAAGAACAACACTGCAGCCTGTGTTCTGAAAGCAAAGAAAAATAGCGAAGACTGAAAGGAGAATAAACGAAAGGAAGGCATGAGAGAGAGGATAAGGGGGGGGAGAGAAAAAAGAAAAGAACAACAACTCTTCTGGGTTTGATTCAAAGTTAATTTAAGTAGCTGAAAACTTTCTATAGGTTTTTGATTCTAGTAGAGTGTGCCTAAGAAATTTGTCCATTTTCATTGCGGTCAAAGTGATTTTTGTGGAAATCTAGTTTTATTTGATTTTTTTACAGCTGGCATGAGCCTGGTATCAGTCTAGTAACTGATGTTCTGTGTTACTGTATTGTTACGCTGGCTACAAATAAGCTTGCTCACATACCTTTTTTTTTTTTTTTGCTATTGTTATCTTTCATTTCATTCATATGGTGGAGAATGAAAGTACAACCTTCTGAATGCAGTTTTCCTCAGGAGATTCTTTCCAGAACCATCTGTTTCTGAGAATCTTCAGACATATGTTTATAATTCTCTGGTGAAAGGAGATCTGCAAGGCCTAGAAAATCTTGGTGCTAATTATCACCATTTTACTCAATCCAGCATACAGCAAATATTTCTTATGCATGTCAGCTAAACTAACTCATCCTTAGATGGCAACTTTATGTAGATGGGAGCTGGAAAAGTTTATGGGTTTTTTTTTTTTCTCATCATCAAGGAAGATGTGGTGTAGCCTCAGAGAGGTGTTTGTAACAGACAAGAACAACACTGCAGTCTGTGTTCAGAAAGCAAAGCCAAAATAGTGAAGACTGAAAGAATAAACTAAAGGAAGGCATGATCAACTCTCTTGCTTTTTAATTGAGTTTTCTTCAATGGGAATTTGAAGCTGCTTAAAAGCTGCTTGGGAGCATTGAAAAGCATTCTATCAACTCATACTCTGTGCAGATATGAAATTATCTGTTGATGTACACGTGACAGGTGTTAATTTGTTTGGTTTGGTTGCTTTTGTTGTTTTTGTTCTGGCAGGGTGAGCAAGGAGATCTGGGGGAAGCAGGTTACCCAGGAGACTCTGGTCTTCCAGGCCCACAGGTAGGTAAAAACTTCTGTGTTGTTTTTGTGTTAGCTATGGAGAAGATAAGGTGTCAGTCTTGATCTTTTGTTTTTCTTTTGTAATGCTTTGTTTACTTCAACTAATGACTATTATGAGTAAGATTCTTCCCTGGCAAATCTTCTCTGTAACCCTGAGGAATTAAATGTGGCAAGTTTCTCTTTCAGTTTATGTGGGTGCAGCTTCTAGTAGAATCAAAAGAGGAAAGTGAATAGCAGAAATAAGTAATTTAACCAACACATCGCTAGCTTACAGGATATTATCAAACAGATATCTTCAAAATGAATTCATTAGAAATTGCTAGCAATAGGTACATAAAATCTATTGCATTTTTGAATATAGTGTATTTCCAGGGTGCATTGAAATGATGAAAATTATATACTGATTGACAGAACTAATGAGGAAAGCTTTGCATTTTAAAAATTTGCTTGGTGCAGTCATTTTGAAGAGAATTACGGTGGTAGACTACTTATAGTAGCTTCCAGATTTCAGCTGCTCTTAGATGCTCTAAAGATGCTCTTAACTTTAAGTTTTAAGATACAGGCATTTGGAGAAAGTGTGCCTAGTTGATAGTGGGTTGCTTATGGCTCCCTTGGTATCTTAGACACTTCAGTGGCTCTCTGAATATGGCCCTCAGGCAACGAGCATCTCAGCTGCTTCACACAGGCAAATCTTTACAACCAAACAGCCAGAAGTTTCACCTGTGCATTAACGCTTGCAAAACAGGCACTTGGATTCTGGTCATTGCAGCAATCTAATCTTCACTGAAAGGCTATCAACATTGAACTGACTTTTTTTTCAATGGCTTTTTTACATCAGGGCCCAAGAGGACTACAAGGGATCAGAGGACCTCCAGGACCACAAGGCATGCCAGGCCCTCTGGTTAGCTTTAAATAATATATTCCTGCTGTACACATGAGGGTTTTTTGTTCTCAGTGTTGATATTATTCTTATATAGAGTTTTTTAAGAACTTATAGAAAGAAGAAACTGAGGGTTTTTCAGTATAGTACTTAAGGAAACTGATTTGCAGCCTCATATGTTAAAATAACAGCCTTGAAAATAAGTTTAGGTGGGTGAATAGGAAGTGAACTTCAGTGTTACCAAGCTTTTGCATGTTCGTAATGAAAAGCCTTAGCTCTAGATTCCACTCTCAGTTCTATAGTATCAGGACTAACAGCATGGCTTGCAGCATGTATAAATACAGATGTACAGTGGTGTAGTTGAGGGCAAAGTTAGATAATGGTCAGTGGTTTCATTAAACTATGGCCTGTGAGATTTAATGCTAGGGTATGATGACATTGTAACTATTGAGCACTGCCTGCTGATCTTCTCACTTGTGTGATGCTGTTGATTTTGGGGGTTCTTATTCTGGAATTACACCAGTGTAACTCAGGACTGGAATGTCCTCCTCTGTTGGCCTTGGGCATCTGCTTCAGTCATGTAATGATGCTTGTGCTTACACACCCATTTGTATGTGTGTATATAGATATTCATATTGTTTGTGCACATACGCATGTATTCACTAGGTATCTATGTAGATAGAAGATAACATTTGTGTCATACTTAATAACATTTTGAGAATTTTAAAGCAGTCGTACAGAAAACAGGAAATAACTGGAATGGTAGCTTGACCAGTAACTCTTACTATGGTCCTCAAAAGCCTGTTAATGTGCTAATACACTGATTCTGTAATAATTTCAAGTGGCAATGAATCCTTGAGTGCAATGAGCCCTTGAGTCTTCATTGTGCAGCTTTTAATTGATAACTTCTGATTACAGGCTAGTCTGGGGGCCCCAGGTTCACCTGGCTCTGTTGGAAAGTTAGGTGCGAGAGGACCAAAGGTAAAGATTTTTAAGGTACCTAATTGCAGCAATCTAACAGCATCATTCATTCAAGAATCTGACTGAAGATGCATGAAGTAACACTTGCGTTGTTCCTATGGAACATGTGAAGAATGTTAAGTTTTATACACATTTTTAGACTGCATGGGAAGGCAAGTGATGTGTTCAAGGTAATCTTACAGGTGTCAGAGCTATGCTAAGAAGTTTTTAGTGTTTCCATGACGGCTGTTTTAATTGCTGTTGTGGTCATGGTTCTCAGTGGGTCCTGGCTTCTCACAAAATGTAGTAGGGATATGGCACTGCTGACCCTTGAGCTTGTGCTATGATTCCTAGAATCCGTCCAATCCATTAAAAATACGTGTACCAGTTAATCATAGAATCATAGAATGTCTCAAGTTGGAAGGGACCCACAAGGTTCATCGAGTCCAACTCGCTGCTTCTCGCAGGACTGCCTAAAACTAAACCATATGACTAAGAGCGTCATCCAGACGCTCCTTGAACTCCGACAGGCTTGGTGCCATGACCGCTTCCCTGGGGACCCTGTCCCAGTGACCGACCACCCTCTCAGTGAAGAACCTTTTCCTAATGTCCAGTCTGAACTTCCACATTCAGTGAAGCATAGCTGCTTATTTTAAACTTTTTGTTGTGAAGATTCCTAACCAGTTCAAGGAACCTTGACTGTTATGATGTATATTATACAGGAATGAACGTGTTGAAGAACTGAACCAACATGAAGTTAAACAGAAAGGCTTATACTAATAGGTGGTCCACATTACGGTTCACTTACTTATAATAAATGTTATCCCTTACTTTCCTTTCATTAATGTGCGTTGATATGGGAGACTTACTTTATTAAATAAAAATATCTCATTTTAGGTGTTGTTGCATCTCTGGATCTAAAAGGCATAAATAATACCAGTTAGCTAAGCCTTTCAGTCTCTTTAAAGGGTTATTACATTCAGTGTGTTATTACATTCAGTGACAGAGAGGTATCAGAAGGTCAAAGTGCTACTATGAGAAGAGTCACTGTGTGAAAACGTACAGTGAAACAGTGACAAAAATTGGGAAGAAACACAGGGATTTAATCCATCATACATTCCATTTTCTCCATCTGGTTTTGTGCTGTTTAATATTGGGATTCTTGTTAGAAGAAAGTTCATTATGAAAGTGAAAACCAAGAAAGGAACTGAAGAAAACTTGCAAGAGGACTAAGAGCACAGTGCAGACAGCCTGCCTGAGAAATACTGTCTGCTATCAACAGATGCTTCAGGCTGGTAGAATTCCAGGCTATGTCCTGCTACCATTAATATAACTTTTTTCCAGAAAACACTCTTTTCACTGGTAATTCTGTATAACAATAGGAGTTTTATTGAATGAAGGTCTTTGGGGTTTAGCTGCATGAATGCTCAGCATATTCTGATTTGCCAAGTACTTTCCATTTCCACCCCAAAGAACCTTCCATGAAACATGGTCTGTAATGGAATGCTTTCGACCGGCATCAAGTAGTCTATAAAATGTATAAGCACACTTCAGTCTAGCAGACAAGTTTACATTTCAGAAAGAAGAATTCTCCTGAATGAGCCAAACTAATACCTTTTATGTTTCAATTATAACAGGGTGAACCTGGTGACCCTGGAGAGAAGGGCCCAGTGGGACCAGCTGGATGGAGAGGCAAGCCTGTGAGTCTTTTTGCCCTAATTCAGGGCCCCTATAGTTTAATACCCATCGTTGTGAATCAGTACAGTTCATTCCCTTCTATTTTCTCCATTTGATACAATTAAAATTATTTCACACTTGGTTCTCAGTTTCCTTATTGACACCAGATTCCTTGTGGGCTAGAGAGAATATTTTTCCCACCAGGTTCTCTAGGAGAGAGAGAATATGCTAGAGGTAGGGCACACAGTGGAGAGGAACTGTGGCCTTAATCCTTGTTTTCTCTCTACAGATTATGCCACCATTTGCTACTGTTTTTAGACTGTGTTGTGATAGCTTGCCCTACTTCATCAGTCTTAATAGCCTGGGCACCTCATTGTAATGGGAGATCTTTACTCCGAAATGAAATTGGATGTGAGTCTAATCCTCTATTAAAAGCTAACTCATGATATATTCAACCTATGCAGGGCATGGATGGCAGAGATGCCTACGGTCCTGAAGGAAGCAGAGGAGCTAAGGTGAGTGCTTAGAGTCAGGATGTCTCACAGTCTTCATTCTGCAGTGTCAAATCAAACATGACCATCTATATTTGATTCAAAAGAAATGTAAGACATGGCCAAAGTGCATTTCTGAGGTTCAGTAAGAGGCTCATTCTTCCCACAACCATCCTTGTGAGAAATTCTGCAATAGGATGTTCTTTTGAGAACCACTCTCTCTTACTCTTTCCCTTGATGTGTGTATGTATGTATATGGATATGGGGGATTGTACTTCTTGGAGTACACAGTGCTTTCTCCCCACTTCAGTCTGCTTGACTAGCCACTTTTGTTGGCAAGCATTGGTGGGCCAGCCACCTTGGACTCTTTTAAGTTTTCTTCTTTCAGAGGAGGGATTCCTTGATTACCAAGGTGAGGGTGATACTCTCCAAACATCCTTGCTGTTTTAATGTGAAATATTCTTCCTTGTGCTCCTATGGTCAGCAATAAGATCTGTGGATTAACCTGTGGATTGCTACATATTTAGAAATTCTTATCATTCCCTTCACAGCCCTGAAAAAATAGCAGTGAAATGCCTACTTCTCTAAAAACATACAAGAATCCAGCTAAAATAAAAAGTATACAGAAAGGATGAGGTCAAAATCATGGCACCAGTGGCACCAATGGGTCAGTCCATGAGCAAAATGGTCAGGATATTGGAAACAGCTGCCGTCCTCCTTTCAAAGAGTTTGTGTAGTGTTACAACACTAATCCTTTCCCATTGCTTGTGAAACAGAAGTGGTCCAATGGATCTCACTGGAGGCCCATCTGTTTCACTCTCCCTTTTTGTGGAAGAAGCAGAGTGCTGCAGAAGCTGCAGAAAAGATAAGAAAAGCTTCCCAGGAGCCTCTCCAACTGATGAGCTTTTTCTAAAATGGCTTTTTATTAAAATGACTCTTGATGCTTCTTATTATCCAACCTCTTTTCTTACCTTCTTAGCCCCAACAATTTCCTTTGATGGGAGAGTTTCACAGGTTACACATATGTTATATGCAAGACTAGTTCTTTTAATCTCTTGGAGTCTCCCACTTTTTCGTTTCAGGGAACATCCTTCTTGTTACAAGAAATGAGGAAAAAAGGTTTCTGCTAAATCTTCTTGTCATTATTCATTGTTTTAAAGGATTGACTTAAAGCCCTTCTTATACATTGATGTGTCTGCCCAAGGTTTGGCAGAGCCTGTATTAAAGCAATTAATAAAAACAAACAAAAAACCAATTCACCCCAGAATACTGATCCCGAAAGAGTTGGTTTCCCCTGATAGCTAAGAGAACAGCCTTTAGTATAGGTTTTACTTAAGGTTGCTATTAATTATACAGGTTCACAGTCACATTACACTCTCTTAGGTGTATGTGGGGCCTGTGTGCATATAATTTTCTAGAAATTGTAGGATAAAGTCATATGATGTTTGACAAGCATGTCCACTTTCATGGGAGGGAACTCTTAAAACAAGGACAGTTTTAAGGACAAACAAGAACTCTTAAGGACAAGGACAAGTAAGCAGTGTGAGTTCTGATAGTTACTCTAATGTCAAGGAAAGACACACTTCAGTTCTGATTGGTCTTTGTGAGAGTTCTCGTATTTCTCATATACGAGCAAAGAACACACCGAAAACTGAAGTAACTGAAAACAAGTAATGAAGTGACTTCTAATATGCCAACAAAATATTATGGTATCACTGTTTAGTATGGAGGGTACAACATTTTGAAACTGCATTCAAACGCTGAGTTCTGAATGTTATACTTACGATTGCTGAATGTGAATTCCACTGTATGTTGCTAGGAGGCCTAAATAAGTTTTGATAAAACACTTATTTGAGAAATGGAATACTCTTGAAAATTCAGAAACTGTTGGAAATTTTTGAAATGCTCTTCCTTTAGATGAACAAGGTGTTAATCTAAAATGGTGTTATCTGAGACCAGAGTAGTAGCCACTGTTACTTGAATGGGGTGGAACGCTAAGAATAAATTTGAAATAGTTTTTAGTTTAAAGACTTTAAACACTAAGCAGATCACAAAGTTCTAGATTCTTAGGAAGTCTTTGTCCTTTCTTTTGGTAGGGAGAATCTGGATTCATAGGATATCCTGGTCCAGAGGTATGATTAAATGGGCATGTTTGCTTTCTTTATGTCTTGTTTTACATTATTCTTGTTTGGAAGTGGTTATCTGTCTTTCTGTCTGTCTTCTCCTTTCCTGTAAAGTCCTGGATTTCATTAATTTTCAGGGAGAAGATGGAGACCCGGGAATTCCAGGAGCTGAAGGACCCAAAGGAGTTAGGGGTAGAAGAGTAAGGATGATAAATCTGTTAACTCTGTGAACAGTTCTATAAGTAAAGCCCTTATGTCTTAAGTGTTTCCTCACCAAAAATTTTTGAAATTGGTTCCCACTCTGATCTTTTATTGCCATATCCGGGGGAAGAGGTCTTGAGAGAATGCAGGTCTAAGTCTTTAGAGATGTTAGTTGCTAATAATTCTGAGGGATAGTAGTCATCTTTATGTAAATGCAGGATCCAACTCACAATATAGTTATAGAGGTTTTTGTCTGCTGAAATTCTGCACCTGTGTGTGCAATTATAAAGAATAAAACTTGTATTTCTATTTTTAGGGTAATGCTGGCACACCAGGTTCCCTGGGAGATCCAGGGGACCAAGGGCCATCAGGACCTATGGTAATGTATTTTTATTTTACAAAATCATTCAGATTTCTCTTAAGCTTGCTGTTAGATTAATGGAATATTTAACAATGTTTCATCTGGTAAACTATGCGTAATCAGCCTGGCGGTTGTATAGAGTTACGTCTTGCCTGTGGATGTGTATGCACAAGAGCACCTGCTGTTGGAAATGGAACTGCAACGATACAATGCAGGGCAGAATTTCTTCCACAGTATTTAGTATTGTCTTTAGGCTGGGTAAATATCTAATTAAAAAAGAAGAGAGTACTAAAATGTAGAACTGGATTGTTCTGCTGAAAGCCAATGTATTTTTTCATTTAAAAAAAAAAACATTTAAAATCAGACTTGCAATTGCAGGCACTTACTTGAAGCTTAAATTGACCTATTAATCCTTATATACAAGTAGATGTCTTGATGTACTTTTCCAGTGTCTGTGATCTGCATTTTATACAACAAAAAGTTTTATTCTCTATCTAAGCAGGGGAAAGGATCGTGGATTTCAGTAGGATTTAGGACTAACATTGTAGGCAGTTAGGAAAATCCCTGTATGTGTCTATCTTTATCTTGCAGCAGTTCTGTAAATCAGCTCCATGGTGACCAAAAACAATCCCTACTGTTAATTATTTTCTTGTTAAACTTTCTTAAGCTTACTCTTTTAGTTTAAATATGGAACATTATTGATAACAGTACCTTTATCTGTATAACATGGCCCAAGGGATACATGCAACTTAGAAAACAATTTTTTTTTTTGTCATTACACTGTGCTGGTCCATGAATGTGCTTGGCCCACTTTATTTTATGATGCTGGGCACAAGAATGGCCAAGAGTGCCAGCTGGAATGCATTGCCCTCCCTGCTGCTTAGCTGCTCACATAACGTTACAGACAAACAGACTTTGTGTGCTGATGAGCCAGATAGCTGTTGGCCTTGCCAATCCAGGGTCCAAGAAGTCTTCAGAGATTTCAAGCTCGAGATCTCCTCTTTAGATGTAGAAGTGAGAGTGGACCTTGGGAGGTATGGGCTTGGTGGGATTATTGTAGTAGCAGTGCATCAGTGAAATGGGAAGGTGGGAATTCTGTGGGAAGTGGAAGAGATAGGGATGCAGGAAGGGGTACAGCTAGTAGGCAGGGCCAGCCAAAACAGGCCTGTTTTACCCATCCTTCCTAACTTGGGGGCATGATTATCTGTATGGGTCGAGTCTGCACAGCTCAGTGACCACTAATAAGCTATTGCAAGTAGCGTTCATTAGGGCTCAGGCAATTCACAGTCAACTCTTGCTGAACAGTACCAAAGAAGAACTGGGACCTGCTGGGAAACATAAGAAGATAAAAGCATGGAGTGGCTGCAATGGTGCTAGCAGCAAGACAGCAGAGGAGATGGGGAAGGTAGCTCAGGCAGGAGATGGAGGAATGGAAGTTTAATTGGAGGGGGAAGCAACAAATATGGAGATGGGGTTGTAATTTGGGGATGTAAGGAAGTATATGATCTTGGTAAACTGTAGTTTTATGGTGGAGAGAGGCTATGGTAAAGGTTGTGGGATGTGGAGTTCAAATTTTTCTGGTGTGTCTCACTGCAGCCCCCTGCGAGTAAGTGAAAATTTTCAGTAGTCTTGCTACACATCTGAATTGCACACATGATGAAAACTTTCAAGCTGTCTTGGAAAAAAGTTATTTTCCTTGTATTTTATTCCTGTTATGAAGATTAAATAATACTTTTATTTTGAAAAAAGATGCTTGGAATCCTGGCATTTGCCCACAGCTCCCAAGGAGAAGGCTGCAGAGCAGCCAAAGCTAGCTAGCCTGGTTGAGAAGTCATGATGTGTGTATGGTCTTGCAGGATCTCTCGAGGTAGAACTGTGGCTATTGTACCCTGCAAGAGGAGAGGGCAAGCCTATCACACATCAGAGGTTGAAAAGGATGTAAGGTGCAGATAACTGAACCACACCACAGAAAGTGCTGTTTAGAAAGGAAATCCGGTGCTGAATTATACTGGTCCTTAAGGGCAACAAGTATTGAACATTTATAAAAACAGGAAGGAAAATGGACTGAGAAATAGGTCTGAGAAGTAGTCTGCAACTCTGTTGGGAACAGGACCACAGAAATCTCTGCTGGGAACTGATGTCTCCTCATATTTCAAATTCACAAATGGTTATCAGGGAAACACTGTATGCCTGCATTTTCTTTGGACTACAGAGTCATAGACGGAAATACCTTATCAGGGTCTGATTTTCTGGACCTGTGTTTAATTTATTTCAGGGTGCCAAGGGACCAATGGGCACCATTTTAATGGAAGTAAGTAACTACCTTACAGCTAACTGCACACTGCATGGAACTAACAGTTTTAGTCTTCTTCCATTTATAAGCACTGACTGCAATAAGCACAATTAGCTGTTAGAAAACCATATCCTTCTCAAATACTTGTCAGAGTGCAGTGGGTTTTTCTGACCGTGCAAATAATCAAGGACTGAGAAACAATTACGCATATGGATTAACACCATGTCCAAACTTTGACTAACTGTTGGACCATTAATTCCTTTATCTGTTTCTTCATTCACATCAGTTTACACACCAGCTCAGGTTTAGGGTTACTTTTCACCCTCTTGTAAAGGAAGGCATTTCTTCAGCAACAGCTGTTTTCACTGGGAATAGCAGGGCAGGATTTCTTCAGAATCCTGATCCCATGTAAAATGAACACTTCTGAGTAAAGGCTCCATCTAATTCTTGCATGGACAACTATCTGCAGGCAACACTATTGCAGGTGTGTTCTATGTCCAAAGCGGGTCCTCTCCTCCTTCGTGGACCTCTCTCTTCCTATGTGAGTTGCTGTTGAAATGCCCATTCTTCTATGAAAGTGCCATTGCCTGGTGACCTCCTAGATCAGATTATTACACAAAATAAAGAAATGATAAATGGTTGCTTAATACTCCAGAGCATGATTAAATGCCAACAGGACATGTCTAAAAAACCCCTTAGTTTCTGCAGCAGGGGCAGAGCCCCTGTATTATTTGAAATAGAGAGGAACTGGAATGTGTGATTCTGGATTTACTGTAGTGAGAGTTAGTTCAGGAGCTGGGATATGACCTTCAGCTCAAACCAATAGTAAGATTCCCAGTCTGGGATGGTCTGGGATTTGCCATTAATTGCTTTTTTGTTTTGCTCCTGCAGCCTTGTGAACTTGTGAATTTTACACGAAAAAACTGCCGTAAGTAGGGAGCATCTTCTTTTACCTCTGATTCCACCTAGTCACTCTTCTTAAATGGAATAAACTCCACTGGAAACCCTGTAGACTGGTAGTTTGAATCTGGGTTCAATCTGATGTCTGGTAGTTGTTAACTGTGAGGGGTTTTCAGGAGGTGTATGAAACAGGCTTATACTTTTTGCTCATTTTTCCTCTCTCTTAATTACAAAAACTGTAATAAACGTCTCTTGTCCTCATTTAAGATTAAATTAATTCTGTGACATTGTGCCAACCTCCTTTGGGGAATTCTCTGAGAGAAGACAATATTTGTGTATCACCTGTCCTCCGGATTTGGAGTGTTCATTCTCTCTCAGACTTGTATGCTCAGCAGAACCCAGAACAATTTCTTTAATTCTCATCCAGTAAAATTGCAGTATTTTGAATATTTGATTGTGGAAGAGGAGTGTTGTCTCTCACTGGAAGATTCTGTCAGTTGTCTGAGCTTTGGATCAGGCTCTTTAGTGAAGGCAAGTGAATATGTCACTATTTTAATGAATATGAGTCCAAAATAAATTACTTGCTCTCTACCTCTTCATTCCAGCTTGCTCATCAGGTAAGCCCATCTGGCATCTGCATGTCCATTCTTTTATAGACTTGAAGAAAAAACTAACGTTTGAGTTGTGGAAAGGTTCTCACACAAATTTTTTATTTCAACATACAGACACATGTCCAGTTTATCCAACTGAAGTGGTATTTGCCTTCGATATGTCTGAAGATGTTATGTCAGCTACATTTGAAAGAATGAGGAACATTGTTATGTTATTGCTGAAGACCATTAAGATCAGTGAAAGCAATTGCCCAACAGGCGCTCGTGTCTCCATTGTTTCTTTCAATACCAATATGCGCTATCTCATCCGATTCTCAGAATTCCAAAAAAGCAACTTGCTGCTAGAAGCAGTCCAGAGAATACCACTAGAGAGATCCACTGGAAAACGTAATATTGGGGCAGCCATGAGATTTGTTGCAAGAAATGTCTTCAAACGTGTTCGTCAGGGCATCCTCACAAGAAAAGTTGCCCTATTTTTTGCCAATGGTCCATCGCAGGATGATGTTTCCATCAGCACAGCTGTACTTGAGTTGAGTGCCTTGGATATCACTCCAGTGGTTATTGCCTTCAGTGAAGTGCCAAATGTCAGACGTGCCTTCTCAGTAAGTAGGTGGACTATAGGAAATTGAGTCAGTCATCCATTTGCTTATTATCGACTAGTATTTGAGTAAAGCGTGCTCTCAAGCCAGTAAGTTCTACAGGAGCTGTCCGATCCCTGATTAGAAAGGGGTATATTAAAGGTTACTATTTTAACAAAGAAACGCTGATTCCCTTGACCGTAATGATCACCATTTGACCTCTTTCTGCACATGAATTATTTATGACTTGTGCTTTTAGGCCAAATCACAGAATTTCAATAACATTGTGTTAATTTCACTTGGTTGCCTATGCCATTTCTCTTCTGCAGTTGTGACATGTACTAACCATTTAATTAATAAACTGTGGCCCTAGAAAAAGTAGTAGTAGAAGGCTTCAAGTACTCCAAGTTTTTTTTCAAAAGAAAATTAAATTAAGCAAAACCTCTTTTGATAGCTGTATTGCCATTAGTACAGGAGAAAATTAACAACTTTTGTTTTAAAATATGACTTCATATAAAAAGATAGTAAACAAAAATAAGCAATCCATTTTACCAGCTACCAAAGGAAAACAATTCTAAGTTTCTTTAAGGTTTCATAATATGGATTCCATGTTCTCTCTCTTTTCAATTTATTTTTTTATCATCTGTGCTCAGTTTTAACTTTTTTGAAATAAAATTCCTTCCAGCTGCTGTTTCTTCAAAATTATCCTTATAGAAAGAAACTGTGTTTACTTACATGTGACAAAAAGTGCAAAACTTAAATCTAAGTTCTGATCTAGTAACATCTAAGTCAGCCCTTTAATCTTCATATTACATTTATTCTCGTGCAGCCTCATATCTGTTAGTCAATTCACATATTTGTCTGGCTGAATGTTAATTTAGCATCATGAAAACATTCTGCTGGCGTATGAGAAGGAAGCTTATAGTTTATTCACTGGGTTGCTCCACAGGATAAACAGGAGCAAGCATCAGTATTTTGTTTACTTAGCATAAGCAGATTACGAATCCAAATGCGTATGATGACATCTGGTATTTACAAAGGTGCCAACTTTCCATAAATCAGTTTTTAGAGTAGGAAAGTTTAAAAAAGCTGCTTAGCAGCGGGAAAGGCAAAAGATTCACTGCCCAGCTCTCCTTTATGGGTACAGTGATGGGAAGGCAACCAACCTCCCCACCACCACCCAAGAAAATACAACCTCACTTTTTATTTCAGGTGGACTTCTGCCCTTGCAGTTGAGAGGTGGCTTAATCTTCATGATCCTACCAGCCTGTAGCCACAGATACTTACTGGCTTTGGTTAGTTTGCTTTAGGAGCCTTAGTTTGGAGATCACTTAAACAGTCATTGCCAGTTCTAATTCCTTTGAAGAGGCCTATCTATAACATCCTTTACAGACATTAATCAGAAGTTGTGTTGTATATGCGTTGTGTGTAACACACACAAAGTTTAAGTTTAATGCAAAGAAGTAATTATTTCTTTCATCACCATTTTAGCTTATCCATATATAAATTCATTTCCTGCAATATTATGATATTATACAGCCATTTTTATTTATCTTAGTCCACAAGGAAATGTTTTTTCCCTTGAATCATATTTGGATGAGGTTGGGTGGTCAGTGAAATTGTAGGATGTTGTTGGAGTTTATTCAGGGTTCCTCAAGCATTTCTGTGGTCAAATCTTCTACTGGGGAAGATTGTCTTTCTTCAGCTGATCACAGGCAACACATAGGTTGTTCTAATGCTAGAATTTTCTAATGCTAGAATTTTCTCTCCCAAGAAAACATCTTCACTGTGAAGGATTTCTCTTTGTCCCAGAAAGAGCTGAGATAGGAGATCCTGCACTTTTCTCTGTAGCACCCTACTAAGAAAAGAAAAAAAGTGATAGCCCTTCACTGGCAAAAAAAAAAAAAAAGTCTTCATACCTTTTACTTGTGCTGAGATTTCCATTCATACCTATAAAGCTGTCTTCCCATTTTTTTAAAAGAAAGTATTTTTCAGGCCAGAACATAGTGCTCTGCATTGTCAAGGGGAGAATATGGTGACCTTTACAGAAAAGCTCTTGATATATGAATTTAAACCATGAGGGTTTTCTTTCATTTGCATTCAATTGCCATCCCACAATGACTCATTTTTCCCCTCATTTGTATTACAGTAGCACACAGCCACCCCAATCAAGACCTGAGTAGCCATATTGCATACAAACAGAGAATAGAAGTTGAGTCCCTACCTGATCTAGGAAGAGCAGAAAGACAACATATAAAGTGAATGTGAACAGAGGACCTAAATTCAACACCATGCAGAAATATCTGAGCTAGCTTTGAATAATCTATCATGACTGTCTTAATGCATTACTCCTAGCTAATAAGCTGTGCTAACAGCAATTAATTGTCATTAGCAGCTATACTAACTTGGCAGTCTCTGTATAGCACAGCATGGAGTTAAACCTTTAGGCACAAAGCGGTTTCCCTGTAATGCTCCAGGGCAATCAGAATGCTCCAGAATGGCAACTGAAAAAGTCTTCTGTGTAGCTGTTCAATATTACAATAGCAGTGAAATCACCAATTTAGGGATACTATCTATTTTAACAGAGAAATAGTAATGACATTGAGTATTAAGAACAAAGAGAAAACATCTGTATTTTGTGTATATCTTTTTAATGTCACTTTTGTGTCTGCTTTAAAACATAGATTGATGATACTAGAAGATTTCAATTATTTGTTTGGGAAAGACAACAGGATGAAAGTTTGGAGAGCATCACATATTGTACACTTTGCTTCGGTAAGACATCTTACAAATTCCAGCTGTTGTATCGGTCTTTTCACCCTTTCCATAACAAATCCTATAGATTTTATTTTGCAATGTGGTGTTGGGGAATTTTTATGATACCTCTTAAACACGTTTGTGCTTAAATATAAAAAAAAAATATTAATGAACAATGTATTGGGCATAGTCCTACTGCCATAAGTGGTTCTACAAGGAGTCTCAAAGATGCATTAAGACCTGATTCCTTATATACGCTTGCACCAGCACCAATCCCATGAGTGGTTGCATGGGGCACCTCAGCCCAGCTCTGCTGCCCAAAGGTGGTCCCTGAGTGCTTGAATTCCAGGATGGCTACAAGACAATGGTGTGGCTGTTTCTTATCATCACCAAGGGAAACTTCACTACCTTACAGGGAGTCGTTCTGTCTCTGGCATTCCTGCTTCCAGCCAGTTTAACCCCTTCTGCAACTGGGCCTTCTTGCCCTCCATGCCAGATCATTCCTTGGTTACAGATTACCACTGCTGAGAAGTTACAATTTGAATTTTCCCTTCAGTGGATGGTAAGAATTAGAATCTCAAAACCACAAAAGCTGTTTAATTAGTTGCTGTCTCAGCCATGTGAAATGAATTATTGTGTTTGGCATTTCCTTTTTAACAGAAATGCACTTAAAATAGCATTATGATTCTGGGAAACCAGGCTCATTTACTGTAAATTCTACATTGTGAGGGGGGGAGAAGCTACTAAATGATAATATTTCAGAATGCTGAACAATAGTCTGAGATGAAAAACAGAGTTTGTTCCAGTGTCCTTTACAATGTTTAGATTTTGACAGAAGAAAATTTCTCAAGGGAGCTCTTATCTGTTAAGTTTTACCTTACGAACATTTTTTGCTCTCATGCCTGAATGATTTCCCATGGTATCTCAAAACCTTGTTCAGCAAGACTCATCTGTTGTTCCTTACTAAAACAACAAGATTTCAAGTTGCCAAATTGATTTTTTTAATCAAAACTTAGGAAAGATAAAATAGATGAATAGGACTGTGTGAATTTTTTTTCTAAACTCTTGCTTTTGTTGTATTGCTAAATAGTTTGCTGCCTATTGCCTCTTCCTCTCTAGATAAATGCAAACCGAGTACCAACTGCGAGGTGCCCTTTTCTCCCCCTGTTCTGATGGATATGGATATCACTTACATAATGGACAGCTCTCGCAGCATCAGCAGCAAAGAGTTTCAGAGAGCCAAAGACTTTGTGAGCAACATGCTAGATCAGTTTGTCGTTTCCTCACAGCCAAACGAATCATATGGAGGCATCAGAGTGGCACTGGTGCAGCAGGCTCCCAGGGGCTTCTTGCCTGATAGAAACCAGACCCCTGTGGCCTTGGAGTTTGATCTAGTCACATACAGCAATAAAGATTTGATGAAGAAACATATCCAAGAGTCTGTTCACCAACTGGAAGGGCCATCAGCCATTGCTTCTGCCCTACAGTGGACGGTTGAAAATGTATTCTTTAAAGCCCCCAGCCAAAGAAAACACAGGGTCATATTTGCAATAGTTGGAAGCAAAACAAGCACGTGGGACAGAGAGAAGCTGAGAGAGATTTCACTCGGAGCCAAGTGCCAAGGATTCACCTTGTTCACTCTTGCACTTGGCAATGATGTGAGTGACAATCAGCTGATGGAGCTGTCAAGCTCCCCCACAGACCAGCACTTACTGACATTGGGCAGGGTTTCAATGTCTGAGATGGTATATGCTCAGAGGTTTAGCCGGGCATTTCTAAATCTTCTACAACGTAAGTAGCATGCAATGGCGTTTGCTTAAATTATGGAAAGAAAGAAATGCTGTGTAGAAAAAGGTAGTCAGTGTATATGCGCTATCATTCAGTTTCTAGTCATAGTTTAGCTAGCCAATCTTTCATCTTTAGTTTGCTGCAGATGCTGGACACTAATAGAAGTGCCAGTAATGACAGAACAGCATTATACTCTAATGGTGCCTTAGGCCAAAGTCATAAGTAGTTTTTTTTCCCTTAAGTTTGTATTTAATGTGTGGCTTTGTTGGCTCCACTTTCACTAAAGACAGATCATTCTTCAGCTAAGAGAACACGGTTATATTCCTGATTTAGGCCTACGTTTCTCCTCTGACCATTGGCAGGACCAGATTTACTGAGCTGTTTATGCCTGTTTAGGCTTTGGGGCGGATACAAGTTTAAACATTTAGCAGACTTGGCATTAACCTCTCTTTACTGCAGTAACCTCTCTTTACTGCAGTTATTCCTCCTCTGCAGAGCAGAGAAAGAACTTCGTCCCTTTTCAAGACACATTCATGCAGATTAGCAGGTCTTAGGTGCTTTGAAATACAAATGGGAATATCAAGAAGGAAATTGTCACTGATTTAAAATCCTCATCAGAAGCATGTGCTTAGAGATGTCAAAGTTTCTATAGAAGGATAAATAATGTATTACAGAGCAAGACAAAAGTATAAAAGGTTGGTTCAGGAGTCATTCTCATCTAGCTGATCTCTAACATAATTTTCATTTTCCTGGGCATAGTGCCAGTCACTCTAGATACGGTGTGTTACTTATTAAAAGATGCAACTCCAGTTCACAACAAAAAAAATCGTGGTACTTTTTATTAAACATACTGGGGTTTGGAGGACTTTAAAACTCACCCGTGGTACCTGTGCTTTCCCCACAGAAGAAATGAACAGCTATCCTTCACCTGAACTTCAAGAAGAGTGTGAAAACTTAGATCAGGAAGACACACAACAGCAAGCGTCTATGAATGAAAGGTTTGGAATTGCTTGTTAAACTTTTGGAGTGTGTATCTCTGAGCATAAGATTTCTCCCTTTGGGTTAGTAGTTATATTTAAAGTAGCTTTAACAGAAACAGGATCAGGATCAAAAATTTTTTTCACGGTATTCAGAAGGAAGGAACCAGATGCATTTTTCAAGGCCATACTGGTGCTTAAATACTTAATTTCTTCTTTTTTTTTCCCTCTCCTTGGAAGGATGCCTTTTCCTGGAACTGATGAAGCTGGTTATGGTCATGGTTTAGAAGACATTGAAAGAACTGAAAGTAGAGTCCTGGAGAATATTAGAGATACCACCACAGAACCTGTATACACAATGCCAGAAAAGGGATATGATTATGAAGAGAATGAGTATTTCACAGAGGAAGATACTGAAGGAGAAAAGCCACAAGAGTATGGAGAAACTCAGGAGAATGAGGAAAACTTGGAGGCAACAGTAGAAACTAGAGCTGCCTATAGTGATTATGGTATGATTTTAGAATATGAAAATCTTTTTTAATTCAGTAACAAGACTCTAAATTGTGAAGGGCTCAGTTGAATATTTACGCAGTATGAAGCATTTCCATTACATTTTCCAAAGCATTTTGTCACCATATGTTTGTATTCAGTACGAATCTATACAGTAGAGTTTGTAATTAAAGGCTGAACTGCAGGTTTCATTATGACTTTAGCTTTGATTTGTAACTTTTTGTAATAATATAATCTAAAGTTCTAATCCCCTTTACTAAAACAGCTAATCATTTTAAATCCCCAAGTTGCACTATAATTACTGAGTTACTCCTGCTGCTAACTTAGCTCAACATGGAGGAACTAAATATGTCTCTGCTACAGTCTGTTCCTGTAGGAAGAACAGGATCCCTCAGCAGAGGTATCCTATCAAAATATTCTTCATGTTTTTTACTTTGCTTTCTAATTAGGCATTTTTCTTTGCAGATTTGCCATTTGATACAATAGGTATGGGAAGCTGATTGTGAGATAAGTTGTCACCAACATTCTTTTAACACTATTGTTTTTGTTGTTTAGACTACAATTGGAGAGAATTTCTGTGAAAAAAATGCAATGGTGTCTGCATAGGTTTGGGTGTGGTAGCTCGTTGCTACAGCTGCCATCCTTTTGTTTTTCATCCCTCTCCACTCAAAAATGATTCTGGGAATGTCTGGTAGCCCCATCCCTGATGAAAGAGGACCAATGCTTTTGCAAAACTGTTTTAGTATTGGATCTTTAATTAAGAGCTAATGTACTGCTGGGAATGCCATACCTCCACAGTGCATGACAGACTTGCTGAGCACAGACGGAATTGGTCCAATCGCCTAACTGCACATGTACAATCTTGAATCAGTGCTCCCATTAACCAGTGCATGAACTCTATGGTAACACAGAAAATTCAGCAGCGTGAAGATATGTTACTGTTTATACTTTACAAATAAAATATTTCCTGTGGGGAAATAGTCAGGGTCATTGCACTGATGTTGTGAGCAGTGACCTAAGCCACTTACGGGAGACATATGGATTGCCGTTTCCAATCCTGAGCTGTAATTAGTGACCCAACAGTTTACTTCTAAAAACATGTAGCACAGTTCCAGAACTTGCCTTTTGAGAGATGTACTTTGTACTGATCTATTGCTTGAGATTATTGCGTTTCAGTTGATTAGGAGAAGAAGGTTATGTCATTTTAAATCTTTAGGTTGGGTAATTTTATCAGTATTTTGCTTTATTTCTCAGTGCTTCCCCTTCGATGTCATACAGATACCAAAGTCTAGAGCTGCTCTTCTGACTTCATTTGAGTAACTCTGAATTTACATTGGTGAAAGCTGATTAGATCTGTACTTACTGAACACCAGATTGCTACAAAGTATGCTAGTCTCACCTATTTTTGGGCTAATTTATGCAATTTAAATCTGTATTACTCTGGGATTTGGCTAAGAGACTATCTTGGATAATTTAACCATCTATGTATGTTCATTTATGAAATTTTACTGATGGATACCAGTATAACAAGTTGGAATAAAGAAGAGGGACATTCTGAAAAGTTTTATTTACCTCGTCCCTATAATCCAGGTATAATCATTTTACAATAATTTTAGTAAAAAGTCTATGTTAGAAGACTAAAGACCTTTTAGCATTCCTTCTGTTTATGCCACTGAATCTAGTTGTTTCAGACATTCTTTCTGGTTAAATCAATCATAAGAAGAGGGACTTCAGGCCATGCCGGCACTGTGGGTTTGTGGATGAATACTTAGTGAAGTATTGTAAGACCTTGAACACTGGCCACCTCTCTCATCTCCCAGTTTGCACTGAACATTACTTTTCCCTGAAATTACAATGCTGAGAAGGGTGAATCTTTCTTTCATTAAATCTGTCTCTTATTTGCCTTTTCCAGATGCATGTGACCTTGTTCAAGATAGTGGAGAATGTCAGAATTACATTCTGAAGTGGTACTACGACAAAGAGCAGAAAATGTGTGGTCAGTTCTGGTACGGGGGCTGTGGAGGCAATAAAAATAGATTTGAAACACAAGAAGAATGTGGATTCTTGTGTATAGAGTCTTTCTAGTCCAGAGACAAATTACTTTAATTCTTCAGTTACACTATCAGGGTGATGGGGAAAATGGATTGAAAGAGAAAGCTTTGCATAGCCACTCAGCTTCCATGTTTCAGTTGAAAGAAATACTTGATTGTGAAGTTATTATCTAGTAACTTAATAGTGAAAATAAAATTAAAACTATTTCTCAGTTGATCTGATACATGTTGAGTACTGAGAAACTTGTGTTAGCCAACAGTGTATTGTTTAAAAGGGATAAAAGTATTGAAACTTGACTTTGTTCCATAAATACCAAAATGTGCACTTTCAAAATGTACTGAATAAAACAAAACAGTACCTCAGACATTTTCATGAAATAACATTGGATGCGAGACACTAATGTCAAAATGTTTTCATGCATTTGCTTGCATTTATCCTGCTTATAGAAAATACCAAAAAGCATTTAGCTCTCAAAGGACATAGACTTACTAGAACTTCACTTTGATTTAGAGGATTTTCTGCCATAGAGTCATTCTTCGCTTTTTAATTTTTTTCTGAATAATCCAACATGTGAATAAAATCAATCATTCTCAAATATTTCAGTTCTGTTAGTTCTTGAGAAAGAGATGTAAGTGTATTCTCGTAGTGTGGCTTCCCATATGTAAATAAGCATTGGTCCCTTTCCCTTGTTACCAAAGGTTAGACAAGTGCATTCATTTTAGAACATTAGATTTTTGTGGTTGCTCTTGAGGGAAAGAAAAAATCCTGAGGACATCTTCTGATTAAAGATAATAAATGCAATGCCCTGCAGAAGGGTGGGACTTAGCTGAGCTTTCACACTCTGCTGACTTACATAAACTCTGCTGTTGCCCATTTTATGTCTTTAGAAGTCATGGTGCATTTAACTTTGTCACCTTGGGCCACTATTTGTAGAGGTGGCTGTACTCACCTGGAATTTTGTTGTAGACAAATACAGAGAAGAACAAAATAGATATCTTGTTAGATTTGCATGGACTACTGGCCAAGAGTTCTTCAACAAACTTTTAAGGCACTTGGATTTCCAGAACCTGGTGCTTTTGGCTATCACCTAGAGGGAGTCTATTGTGAACAGTGACTTTGAACAGAGTGGACTCTTGTGAGGCTCTGCCAGCCTTAGGGCTATAATAATGCTGAGCAACTCAATGCCTAAAGGTGACAGTACCACCCTTAGCTCAGCTGAGGAAGGGTCAAAATTGTGGGGATTAAAGCAGCACGGACTCTGGCAGGCAGTAGCTAAAGACCTTTATTGCTCTTTGTTAGCATCTTTTATAGCAAGCAGAGGTGTTCACGCGCTACCTGCAGCTTGCAGAAAGGTTATAGCCTTGTGCTCATGCACAGCTATGCTCTAGCAGATTGGCCCATTCTTCCTCCTCCTTCTTTTCGTTACAAAATGCCTTCATGGCCTTTATCTTGTTTTCTCCTTCCAGCTGCAGCACATTCCTTTTCCTCCTTTCAGCTGCAGCATATTGCTTCCTCCGTTATCTTCTGTTTAGGTGCCTTCTCGTGCCAGGTGGTACAATGTTTGCTCATTAAAATCAAACTCAGGAGATTCCCATCCCCACACAAAATGTCTAGTGGGTTACTGCTACTGACCCAAACTCTGAGTGGGGACAGGTGAGTTGATGAAGCTGTTGGTCTTTCACCTTTGGGTTTTCTTGCAAGTGACAGAATGGGACTGCCATGGACTGGGAGATACTCCACTCTGTTTCTGTTCTTTTTCTACATTTGTGACTGGGAAATGGTACTTAAGGAGGGCACCTTAGCTGTCTGTTTGGGGGCTAGAGCTGGTCTATTTATTTTGTGAAGCAATAAATTGAACCTGGGTTTGCTTTTTACTACAATATGTACAGTGCTTTTAATTCTGAAGTGTTTAATATCTAGATTTCCAAAATGCTGTTCTCTGTGTCTAATAGCTGTTTCTCCACAGATGCTGCCAGTGGGCAGTAGTTTATCTCCCCTTTCAAAATCAATGGCTCCTTCCCCTGAAGTCAGGTGTACATGAGAAGTGAGTATGCCTTTTTTGGAGAACTAGGTTGGTTTTTACATGAGACTCACAGAAATCTTGTCTCTAAGACAGGACAGCTTGGCAGTTTGATCTATTTTCTTTAGAACTTTAATGTTCTCATTTTGTTCAGATAAGTAAATAATTCTTTTGCTTGGAAGGCAGAAGTAAAAAATCAAACATCTCTGTTCTTGTAGCAGAAGCCATTTTTGATATCTCAGGTTCTCTTTGGTTCAGGAGACATGGAGTCCCCTGATGGATCTCAGCTGCCTGCAATCCATCGCTTCCTTTCAGTTGGCTCTTGTTATTTGGGGCTAGTCTTGCTGCTGGCTCAAAATTCTTGTTTTTCAGTGAGGGAAGAGTCCCACTGTGTGGGATCCTCTCTCCTTGATAAGGAGAAATTTATATGTCTGTGTGGACTGACCGGCTCATGCTTTCTACACACACATCTTCCATCTCATTACCTCAAACAGGCTGGTTGATGATCCTCTTTCTGGAGCGATGCAGAATACGACCAACCAGCTGCCCCCCCCTCGAAGAATGACTCTCAAAGCCTCCTAATCTGTTTTTCCTTCTCCTTTCACCCCTGGCATAAATCCCCTGGGCTCTTTTCCAAAGGGAGGAATATGGTAGCTACCACAGGATGCTTAGGGGCCTATTGTCTAATCCCTGTCTCATCCTTCTGGTTGTGTCAGATGGTCCAGCAAGCTGCATTTGCAGGCATTCTTTTTTTTTTTCCCCTTTTCAGACCTATGGAATACTATAGGAATTCAGATCAGTTACACAAGGTAACATATGAAAAGAATTATTTTGCGGGCAACTGACCAGACTTCTCTGACTGCTACATTTCACTGAGTTGTGAAACATCAGTGTTCAGCAGATAGTGAAATGGTTTTGTGAAATATTGTTATAATGCCAGTGAAATATTCTGGTGTTGCTGTTTCTAGGCACTTAACAGGCTTTTGTGAGAAATCTAGGTGCTGAATTTCATACATTGTCTGAGTTGATACTGTACTTTTTGTGCTGTGGGTGCTTAAACTTCAGAACATTGCTCTAGATGATGGAGTACTTAGCACCTACTTTTTATGAACCCTTGGCATTCTTTTGAATGGCTGTGGTGTAAACGGATGGTGGAACTGTAAAAGGATCTCTAGTGTACGGTGTGGCACGTAGTGATCTTCTCGGGTCAGGGCATGCCCTTCCTCCCACCCTGTCCCCCAGGTGCCTTTGTACAGCTATGCTTACATAGCCTCTGCTACCATATGTCTTCTCCTGCAGCTGGCTCCAGTTTGAAAGTAGTTTAAACACCATAGCTCAAGGCCTTTGTGCCAATGCTAATAAACCCTGCTTTTTAAAGACAAATTAATTAATATAGGAATAGCTGTCCATTAACAGAGTAGAAACTGGGGTATGACTATTTGTACTGGGATATGACTGTCTGCCATGAGATAACATTCTCTCCTCTAATGAAAGCAGTCTTCTGAAGATGTACCTGCTGCTGCTGCTCAGTTGAATGAATTAAGAGCAACCTCTCCCTGCTCAATCCCCAATTCCTCCCAAACTATAAAAGAAATATGAACCTCTCAGAAGTAACAAGGAAATGGCTTCTTTATGGATGTTGTCAGAGGCTGTATTTAGAGAGTCAAGCCATGCACTTATAAATCTGTTTAGGGAGCAATTTAGTTTTGCCCCAGTAAACCTGTGTATGATGTTTATGCTGGTGAGGGCCTTAGTTAAGATAATCTGTACTTTAAAAAGTGCAAGAAGGTAGATCTACTAAACCTACTGCTACTACTGTCATATGTCAACCCAAATGCACGTATTCTAAGTTTTGTAACCCAAAGTAGCTGAATTCTGAGGCCCAATCCTCTGAAAAGGAAGGTGATCAACAGAGAACAGATGTCCCTGGGACCAAAACTCTGCCTGTGAGTTCTGCTGAATGAAAGTGAGTAAATTTAATGCTCTTGCTTATTTCGTTATTTGTTGTTATAAGGGTTATAACGATGTGAAAGTGCTTATAATCTAGTACTAATTTGTAAAAGGTTTCGGATTGCATCTTATATTAATTAGACCTAGTGATACATATCTTAATTTAATGGGGCCAGATTGTGTTAGAGAGAGAAAATATCTGAAGCACGTTTGAGGGAAAACATCTGGCTTTCTGGCTTTGTGTTATTTTCTAGCAGAAAGGCCCATTAAAAATACAGGCATTGCTCTGATTCAAAGGAATCACCCGCACAATAGCGAGCCCTTCCTAGCAAGTTTTAATTCAAATCTTTTGTAACCAAGAAATTAGATTGATTTTTTTTTTTTTTTAATTTGCTATTTCTAGACCAGAGATTCTCTGTGCCCTTTTTATAGCCTCACATAAAACTGCACTTCTGGAAACGGAGTATGTTTTAGTGGTCATCAGCCATTCTTTCCTGTCCCTCCTCTTCCCCTCAACTAGGCCAAATCTCCGAGCAAAGCCTGTGTTAGTGTGGAAACCTGGTAGCAGTCTGTAATAGAGTTTCGTAAAGGCTGATAATTTCATGCTTGGATATTGTCATAGTCCAGATCTTTGTCAGGTCTGTCAGGTGAAGGCACTGTCCCAGCCCCTGGAGATGGTGCTAATGTTGTATCAGGCTGTCCATCAATGACAAATCCAGGAGTTTTCATGAACTGAGAAGCTGATTTGACAGAGTAACACCACACTGGGGTCTTTAGTCAAAGGAGGTTTCTCTGCAGATGCAAATTCATCCAGGCGCCGCCTTCTGCTCACTGGTATCACCTCTGCTTCGTGCAAGGTCACTGTCCACTAACTGTCTGTTTTATCTTCCCAGACTGATCTTTTTGCCCTTTTCTGTGTGGTATGTGCTCTGCTCTTGGGACCTGCTCTTTCTCATGAAATGGAAGAAGAGAGAAGGAAGTGTCCAGACATTCTCTGAACCTCTGTAGCAAGTTTCTTGGCAGCCCCATAGCGATGCTCCTCTCCAACAACTCTGCAGGTCAG